CCTCCCCTCCCCTCCCCTCCCCTTCAACGCAATCACAAGGCTGATGGCCTGTCTCTCCCTCAAGCCATGGCCCAGGGGTTCCCTCTTATTGCATCCCTGTCAATTCTTATCAAATGCCAACCTCCACAGTACTATCACATTGCTAATCCTCTTACATTCTTTTGAGCTTTTTCTCCCCCATCTTCTAACATAATTACAAATGAATTATGTTTTTGTCTATTCACTTTCCCCTTTTGCCACCATGGCAGCCTGATTTCCTTTGGAGACCTCTGGTTCTTTCACTGATGAATCCCTGGCACTTAGACACACATCTTAGCATGTGTCTACATCCCAGGCAAATATCTGTCCAGCAATTCACAGATATTCAAAGCAGCTGTTGGTGGTGTGGCTTGAGAGTGACTTTTCCAGACTGAGAGCTGTTTCAACAGACTTGGCAGCGTGTGGATGTAGAAATCATGTCTTATTTATTTATCACAGAAATGCTTGGAATACAATAGTCCAGTTCTGGGTTCTTTCTCCATATATATCATACCCAGACATAGAAAACTTGAAGAAGTTTTCAAGTCACCAGCAAGTGCGCAAGAGACTTCATTAAAGGGAATTCAGCCCAGCCTCCATTTGCTGAGCATTTAGCATGCCCCGTTCTCTAAGACGGAGGATACTCTCATTGCCCTAGGGCCTTAGCTCGGCACTTATTCTATTGGACACTTGTTTTCTTCGTGGAATGTAGTCTGACCTAGACAGCTAGTTCCTGGAGGAGACACTGGTTCCAGAAGAGCCTGACAGTCAGCCTTGGAAAGATTCTTGTGCTATTACCCTGAGAGAAGACCAGAGTGTGGTCAGCCTCAGGCAGACAGGCCTGGAGAGAGCTCAGCGACGGATCTTGGCACCATGAGTGGGACTTCGTAATGAGCAGAGCCATTCTCAGTGCATCTCTTGAGCGTCCAGGAGTTAATATGACCCATGTGTGCAGATCTTATGTGGGGAGAGGGGTTGTCTGCAACATTTCGTTACATTTCTAGGGAAATAGGAGGCAATCAAGGGACCACACATGGCTTTATTTCCAGACATTTCATCGAGCTCTATCAGTGGTTTCTTAGGTTATATTAAAATTTGTCACAGCTCTGAAATTTCTCCTTCAATATTGACCTGTATCTTGGCTTCACCAAACCGTGAAAATCATTTATTGGGGTTGTACCATACCGTTATATTGGACAATTACATAAGCCCTGACCTTGGACAGACAGTGAGAGAGATTGAGAGAGACAGAGAGACAGTTTCCATCTGTCAAAGATCAGAGGTGGAATGGGATCCACAGTCGCTCCTTTAGCATGTTCTAGCATGTTCTATGTGTCTGACATGGTGGTACACAATGGAGATATGCTTGCAAACAAGTTGGATCTTGTCTCTGCCCTCCAAAGGCAGTTGAACACCGTGGAAGTGGGTGTGGTGGGGGGGACCATGCCCCTCATAACTGCTAGGCTGTCCTGTCTGCAGGAAGCACACTGTCCCCTTGCCTTATCTCCTCTGCTGCTGGCTGACACACATCAGAGGGGGCATAATTGGAGATGAATAATGAAGACTCTTAGGTTCATCCTCCAAGGCTTCAAATGCTTGTAGATGGTAGTATCAAAGCAACCCAGGGGCCTGGCACAGGAGGCTAACACTTGTCATCCTAGCTTCTCAGGAAGCTAAGATCTCAGGATCACAGTTTAAGGCCATCCTGGCCAGGAAAGTCCATGGGAGAATCTGATCTCCAGTGGACCCCCAGAAAACTGGAAGTGGTGCTGTGGTTGAAAGTGGTAGAGCACTTGCCTTGAGCAAAAAGATCTCAGAGACAGCTGTAGGCTGTGAGTTCAAGCCCCACAACCAAACAACAACAGCAAGAAGAACAAAAACAGCTGAGGATCTTTTGTTTGAGACTTATTTACCAACAACAGAAAGGCAGATAACCGGGAAGCGCTTCTGTCACGCGTGGACGGGCTCAGAAGAGAGACCATCCGTGCTTCCTTGTGTGCGTTCAGTAGATAGCTGATTAATGCTTCCTGGGGGCCAGAGAGGTAACTATTACTAAACAGGACAACGTCCTTTCCCTCACACAACTTTCCCCTTAGAGAACCCCACAAGCAACTCACTATATGTGTCAGACAACATGGGGGAGACACCAGAGGGGGTGCTCGGGAAAATAGATGCTGCTGGGATACACCGCTTAGATAACTGGTTTTACAGCCATGGATGGCTTTGTACACAGAACTGTAGTCCAGCTAGCATTGCTCACACGGCCCATGTCTGTGAACAGCTGTGTCGAGGTGGCAGAATGAGTGGTGGGCGAGCCTGTGCCACCGGGAGAGACCCCATACTTTTGGTGACTTACAACGTGCCTGCCTCCTCTTTGTTCAGTAGCTTCACCATCCCGGCTGTCCCTGGGCTGGGGTTTGCTTTTATCTTCCCTTTCTCCTTCCCTGCCGTCTTATTCCCATTTCCCAACCTGTCTTTAATTAGCGCATTAAAGTAATTATTTACTAAATGGTGTTTAGGTAATCTACAGCAACCGGCAAAAAAAAAAAAAAACAACACTCCCTCTCCTCTACCCAAGGGTGTCATTTGTCTGTTAGAGTTTGTTCCCTAGCACATGTGAAAGATAAGACAGTCAAAGGCCTTGGAGATTCTGGCAGCATCTACTGGCACAAGTGTCAGGGTTTTGTTGTTGTTTTTTTTTTTTTTCTCATTACACTACATATTTGAGAAGCACCATGGATTTTTGATCTGGCAGATTGCAGGAAGCAGTTCCTGATTTTTTTATGATAGCCATTGCTGAACATGAATTTTACATTCACATGTACTTTTAGTTGAAACTCAGGCTTTTAAAAATATATATATAGAGAGAGAGCAAATGACTTTTCAGGGAAAACCAGTGTTCACTGGAAATGAACAAGTTCTGGTGGAGAGTTAGAAGTTGCTTGTTCAAAATCTGGGCCTTGGGGCTGGGAAGGTGACTTAGTGGTAGAGTGCTTGCCTTGCATGCATGAGGCCCTGGGTTTGATTCCTCAGTACCACATAAGCAGAAAAAGCCAGAAGTGGCACTGTGGCTCAAGTGGTAGAGCGCTAGCCTTGAACTGAAAAGCTGAGGGACAGCGTCCAGGCCCAGAGTTCAAGCCCCATGACCAAAAAACCCCCCCAAAAACTGGGCTTTGTCCCTGCCCGATGCTGTGAGCTGTGGAGACAGTTGCTCTCCTCTCGTGGAAAGCCAGGCATTCAGTACTGCAAGATGCAAAGCCTAGTTGGGCTTTAACGATGGATCCTGAATTTTCTTTGGACTAGCCAAACAAAACAACCACAAAAACATGTTTTCTGCTTGGGGAAAATCACCTTCCCGTCACCTTTGCTCTTCCGTACTCTGTCGTGATGAAGGGATTTTCAATGTGACTTGAAAGGCTCGATGAATTTATTTATGCTTTAATTACTGGCCATGTACCCTTCTGGGTATTTGAGGTTGAAATGGCACTGTCCATATGGTATTTTTTTTCTTTAGGCTTTCAGTACTTGTTACTTGGTCAGGTGTGACAAAAGAACCACAGTGTTCATTAGTTTGGTGTCTATTTTGTGCCCTGTGAGTGTCAGTCACTGTGTAAGCACTTGGGCTCTCTGTTGTGGCAGAAGCTTGGTGTTTTGCATATGCTCCTACTCTACCTGTGTCCAGACTGGCACGGAGGTCCAGGGCCTGTGCCCACGGCAGCCCGCCTTGTTGTGGCTGTACTCACTCCCCCTGTGCATTGCTTTGGATCATGTGCAGTTCTTCCTGTAACCCTGCTTCCTTAATTGACAAGAAACCGGGCTCGTCTTTCAGATATTTGACCTCACGGATGGCTTTCTCTGTGCACTTGAAACATTTCTCTGTGTCAGATCTGATCAAACCTCCCGTGTCGAACGAACCCAGAAGTTGTGTTATTGACTTGTTTTCCTGTGTTATCTTTAGGATGACCTGTGTGCTGCTATTAGAATCTGTTTCTTTGCTTTGCTTTGCTCATGGTCTTTGTGAGACAGACTTTCACTGGATAGGGCAGTCAGGCCTTGAACATGCTATGAAGCACAGGCTGGCTCCAAATTCTCTATCATTTTACCTCAGCTTTCCAAGAGTTGGAATTACAGGTGTGTGCTACCACATTCAGATCGGTCCATTCTTGATATTGTTTGCTGTCCTATAAATGCATCCAGTCCTTTCTTGATGATGCTGATGCTGAAGCCGTGTGCTTACATGAACACCGTGTTTCACAGTTACCCAGGCAAGTTGCTGCTAGGATCTGTAATCACTCAGAAAACTTGCAGTTGTTTTGGATAATGTTAGCCTTCCTTTTGCCTTCCAGCTGCCTTCTTGCAAGTTGACAGTAGTTCTTACTCCACATGGCTCCGTGTTCTTTTCCACCTATGCACATTTGGATGTGCACAGCATTGTAAAACTCCCCAAATGCTGTTTGAAAACAAGGGGAAGAAGGGAGTGGCGGAATCTGTGCACTGTGTGTGTGTGTGTGTGTATGTGTGTGCCCGCGTGCGTACAAATATAACAGTAAAACTCCATTGTGTTATTCTAATAGAATCAATTCATGTTGTCTTTAAGCTACATCAAAGAATGCATTATCCTCGTACACTTCAGCCGAGTCGGGGGTCCTCACTGTTTCCTTCTCCTCCTCTTCTTTGCAGGATGACGAGGTGGTCCTGCAGTGCACTGCCACCATTCACAAAGAGCAGCAGAAGCTGTGCTTGGCGGCCGAAGGCTTTGGCAACAGACTGTGCTTCCTGGAGTCCACATCCAATTCCAAGGTGAGCGGAAGCCGGCCAAGGGCATTTGTAGATGTGGCCCTGGCCCTGTTCACCAGCTCTCTCTACGATTTGTAGGGGAACCCTCCGTGTGTAGGCTGAAGGGTGGATGAAAACATTTTCACTCTTCAATGGAGAAATGTTTTGAGGCTTTACTGAATGCAGAGACCCAATTAACATGAGTGGAAGAAAGTCTTGAACCATGATGGTTGTAGCTTAGTGGTAAAGGAGTGGGTAAGGGGCAGGAAGGGGAGTGGGAAAAGGCTTGTCTTTCACAAAGAGGATTTGGGGAGACCTTTCTGAGCCAGTGATGTGTGGGCAGGCCAGAGCCAAGTGAGAGCGTGAACGGGACCAAGTTCTTGAGCCTTCCACAGAGAGAGAGAGCATGGTGATGGCAAATTGCCTGGTGGGTGTGGGCTTTGGAGTGGGGAGAGGCCATGGCTGGCGGAGGGGCCTGGGCCAGGACCGTGTCTCCCGCACCTTCCAGGCCAGGCTAGGAGTCAAGGTTTCTTCCTAGCGTGAGGCAGGGTCCTGTGAGTGATGCCCTTTGGCTCTTAGGTGGATTTGGAGGACTAGAGCACGGGAGGAGAATCAAGTGGGTGAGTGGGATATACCAGTTCTGAGAGCCAATGCTTGCTCCAACTCAGAAGGGGGCCACTGGGGGCCAGGGCGGCTTTGGACTGGGCTCTGAGGACAGGGTCTGCACACACATCAGGTTATGCAGAATGAGGGACAGAATGGAGGAAGGCAATGAGACCAGCACAGTCCTTTGTATGGTGCTGTTTGGTTTACGGAGTGCTGGCCTTGTGTAGTCTCATGTAGGGCTCACAAGAAGAGATTGAGTAGTTAGCTGGCGTCATGCTCGTTGTATGGATGAGGAAATGTCAGCATTGTAGAGATAAAATACGACACTGGAAATACTCATTTGTGACATCAAAAAACCAGCATTGGCAGTGTATTTTCAGGCTTGTACTCAGGTTTGTTTACTCATGTATTGATGGATTTATTATCTTTAGTTGTACAAAGGGGTTTCCATTTGTCATGTCTATTTGCCATGACCATTCATGAAATCATATTGTGTAATATATATATGATTTATTATAGTAGTTTATGCAAAGTAGTATTACTAATGTTATAATAGTTGGTCATATCATGTTATGTGTTTTATAGCCCTAATTATGTTTTATTTAGGCAAGCTTTTTAAAAAAGATAGAGCCTCTTCCTACAACTTACCATGTTAAGTTCAGCTATGGAAAGACACTCTCATTCAAAAACATAAATATTTTAAAACCTGGTGTTCTCTCTAGCCACACAGAGTGGATAGAACAAGGTTTGCTTTTCAGAACTGGTGGCGTTTGGCTTTCCCCATTTATTACACCGAACACCGTGCCAACTGTCCTTCTCCTGGTTCTCTGACAAAGAGCTGCCTCCCACTACTCAAAGTCAGTAACCCCTGTTCTGTTGTCAGTTTACCATGTGAAAGTCAAGCATTGAAATTGGAATGGACTGAACTCTTTAGTGCCTTGAAGGGATGGATGCTTACGCATCAAGTTGTTCCTAATAATCCAGGGAATGGCACATTTTTATCCCATCTGATGTTCACATTCTCTTGGACCTTTCTGATTTATCTGGAATTATTTATATTCCTGTACACTTTTAGGATATGGCTTTTCGGGCCCACCGGCCTTGTCCTTCCTGCCCTTCCACACCCCCACACCCCTCCTGTAGGCCCCTACGCCAGTTTCTGGATCCTAGAGGACTACACATATCTCATTTGTTTTCATATCTTTTGGTACCAAACACAGTACTTTGAGCTACTAAAATTTTAATGAACTATTAAGTTCATAAGGAATCCAGGAATCTGAGGATCATTATAATTTTTCTGATATCCACAGACTTTCAGTTTTCTAAAGTAGCAAAGAGGTAAAACTCTAGTTCTCTGATCATGTTGGAGATAGACATATACAACACACAGATGCGTCTGGGTTTGGCTTTCCTTGGGGGAGTGGGAGATGGCCCTTTTCATCTACAATTGGTGTCACTGAATTTATCATAAAAGTCAGGAGAACAGAACGATTGTTGGCAATAACCAGACAGATGATGTCAATTATCTATGTGCTCCTGGAAGCTATCCCAGAAATATCTTAAGCTGCAGAATCTTTTAACCATAGACAGTACTGACCTTTTTTTGGGTGAAGTTTGTGTTTAATGATTCTAAGATATTTATTCAGGCTGATCTTTGTCAGCAAGAGAATGGTTCATAATTTCAATATAGATTTTTCCTGCAGACAGTCTTAAACCCGATGACGTGTTTGGATGAGTTATCCCTATTTCAGATTGATGGCTACTTCCTGCTTATTCTTAATACAGGTCCCTTTTCATTTCTGTCTGATAATTTAGAGTTGAGGAGTTGGGGTTTGGTGTGTAGAAATTAGTGACTTTGAGGCAGATTTGTATTGTTATTATTAAAAATATAAAGAGAAACGAGAAGTTATCAGGGAAATGTAGTTTTGCACTTATTTGTACCTCCCCATGAAAGCAGAGTGAGAAACTCACAGGTCACACAATACCTACAGCAAGATTGGTGGCTGGGTAACCCTTGATCACATGATGTCAGTTAGTATCTAGAAGGAGGTAGAGGCAAGGCAATGTAATTTCTGGGTTTTTTCCCCAAACCAATAATGGAATCCCATTGGAAGTGTGGGGAGTGTGTGAGGGAGCAGCACCTAGGCCTGGGAGGGAAGGCAGCTGCTGTGGTTAGGTAGGATATCTCTGGTGTGACCGTAGCCCTATGTGCTTTTATAAAATACACATTCTTCTCAGTGGCCCAGGGAACTTCCTAAATTTTCAGAAGCAAATGAGAATGAAAACAGTACACTGTAACCTATGAGCTACAGTGAAGGCGGATCTAAGAGGGAAGTTTATAGCTGTGAGTGCCTACGTGAAAGAAATTAGAGAGATCTTATGTAAATGGTTTATGATGTACTTCAAGCTCTTAGAAAAACAAAAACAGGCCAATCACAAAATTGTAGAAGGAAAGAAATAATAGAAATCAGAGGCGAATTAATGTAATGGAAACGAAAAGAACAATATAGTCTCCTAGCCAAATGAACCAAAAGAAAGAAGAATCAAATTAACAAAATTAGAGATAGAAAAGGTAACATTAAAACAAGATACCATAGCCGGGTGCCTGTGGGTTATGCCTTTAATCCTCAGATCTGAGGATCACAGTTCAAAGCCAGCCCAGCAGAAATAGTCCTCATGAAACTTTTATCTCCACTTAACCATTCAAAAACTGGAAGGAGAAGTGTGGCTCAAAGTGGTAGAGTGCTCAGGGACAGGATGCTCAGGCCTTGACTTCAAGCCCCATGACCAACAAACAAAAAACAGAGACCATTGAAATCAGATATAGGAAGCTCTGAATTTCATATGGAAACACAAAAGACCTTGAATAGCCAAAATAATCCTGAGCAAAAAAAAAATGGAGGTATCAAAATGCCTGACTTCAGACTATACTACAAAGCCATAACAACAAAACAAGCATTGTATAGACAGGCCCCAAAACAAACATGTAGATCCATTACAAAGACTAGGAAGCCCAGAGCCCAGCTCAGGCTGGTTCGACTGTCAGATTCTCAACAAAGGTACCAAGAACATGAATGGAAGACAGGGCTCTTTAACACATGGTGCTGGGAAGACTGGCTAGTCATGTGTAGAAGAATGAAACCAGAGTCCATATCTCTCATCCTATACAAAAGTCAACTTGAAATGGATCAAAGACCTTAATGTAAGACCTGAGACTTTGAAACTACTAAAGGAAAGCAAGGGGAAGTGTGTGAAGATGTAGAACAGACAAGGTCCTTCCAAAAAGGACTCAAGTAGCTCAGGAAATAAGAACAAGAACTGACACATGAGCTTCCATCTGGTTAAACAGCATCTGCACGTAAAGGTAACAATGACAAGAATGAAGAGACAGCCTACAGGTGGGGTGGGAAAAAAATAATCCTTGCCAGATAGACATCAGCCGGGGAATGAATAGCTAGACTGGGTAAGGATGGAAAACATGAAACCCCAAATCAAAACAATCCAATCACTGTATGAATGAAGCCACCAGTTTTTCAAAGCACAAATGGCCAATAAATACATGGGAAAAAAAAGTTTAACATCCTTAACCATTAGGAAAACACGAGTTCAAACAACACTGAGATTCTGCCTCTCCCCTCAGAATGGTTGTCATCAAGAGAAGAGCAGGGTGCTGGTGGGGCTCCTGAGGACAGAAGTGTGGGTTTGCTGTGGTGGTGGTGGAAGTTGTTTGGCTCCTGTGGACATCAGTAGGAGGTTCCTCACAGAGCTAAAACTAGAGCTGCGGTGTAGTCCCGCTGCAGGAGTTGTGGAGACATGCCCAAAGGAAGCAGAGCCCGTGTTGACAGAGATCGCCACTTCCCGTGTGTATTCTGCACTGATCGCTATTGCCAAGTGACAGAATCGGCTTAGGTGCCCATCAGTGGGTGGATGGATAAAGAAGAAAATGGCTGAATAAAGTTTTATTTTGTGTGTGTATACAGAAGCACACACACTATTTATGCAGCCAGTAAGGAGAACAAAATGAATGGATAGCCTCTAGTTAAGTGAAATAAGCCAGTCCACAAAGACAGATACTCCATGTTGTCTCTCATTGAATCTGAAAAATACAAAACCAAACCCAACCAGCAAACAAAACCCCTAACAAATCAAAGGTTCTGAAAAGTATAATGGGTTTTGCCAGGGATGTGAAAGAGGGAAGGCAAAGGCTGAATAGAGAGGAAGTTAAAAATATGCTTCTCAAACATTAGGAGACTCTGATTTCTAGATAACCACCGAAAGCCTCGGTGGAGTTTTTGCTCAAGTGGTCGAACGCCAGTCTTGAGTGGAAAAAGGTGAGATAGCTTCCAGGCTTTGAGTTTAAGTCCCCCCCCCAAAAAAAAAGGAAAGAGAGAAGAAGAGACCAGTCCTAAGATGAAGGA